CAGGCGAAGAGGGTCAACAACGGCAACAAGATGCGCAGCAGCGGGAGCCCTCACCACCGCGAGGACACGCGGGTCATGGTGAGCACCAGCAGGGCTGGGGAGGGCAGGGTGGGTGCTCCAGGGCCGGGTTCCTGGGGATCTGGGCCAGGAGCGTGTGCCAGCCCTGCGACCAGCTCAGCCCCAATTTCCCCAGGCACAGGGCTCGTGCCAGAGCGAGCTGCACCGGGCGCTGGAGAGGCTGGCGGCCTCGCAGACCCGGACGCACGAGGACCTCTACGTCATCCCCATCCCCAACTGCGACCGCAACGGCAACTTCCACCCCAAGCAGGTAGGATGGGCTCTGACCTATCATGGGGGACTGGGCTTTTTGTAGAGCCAGGGTGAGTCTGGGAGTGGCACATGGATGGAGGGGACAGTGACAAGGCATGGCAGAGCCTGTCCGGCTCTTGGCTTTGGTGGGAATCACCCTTTGGGTGCTGGGGGCCCTTTAGAAAAGCCCCAGGTGGGATGGGGGTGGTAAAATCCCAGAGAGAGCTCCTGGTTGTCAGGCAGCCCAGGGGAATGGCCGTGGGGTGCAGGTTGGGTGTCCTTGACCGAATCCATTCCCACAGTGTCACCCGGCGCTGGACGGGCAGCGGGGCAAGTGCTGGTGCGTGGACCGCAAGACGGGGGTGAAGCTGCCGGGCTTCCTGGAGCTGAAGGGGGACTTGGACTGTCACCAGCTGGCGGACAGCATGTGAGCGTGACCGCGGCGGCCCCGCGCCGTGCAGGGCCAGGACCCCCGCCGGGGCTGCCTAGGAGACAAGGAGAGGGGACGTGACTGCTGAGCAGTGCCCTGGTGCCGGGGGACCCCGGGATGCGCCTCGGATGGCGCCGTGCGCCGCGCCGCGGGCCATGACCACTATCAGCCACCGCCGGGGACCGCGGCGTGCGCCAGCCGCGCCTCCATCCCACACGGACACAGCTCGGACGATGCTTGCCCCGGGACTGGGGTCGGGCTGCCTGGGTGGAGAGGGTGGGGGGCACCCTTGATGCTGCTGCTGCTGCTGCTGCCCCGTGGTAGCCCTGAATTTCAGCCTGGCCCCGCAGGCGACCTCGGACACCTGGCACCTCAGGGGGTGCGGTGGCAGCATCCCATTTGCAGCTCAGTGCCCTCCATGCCAGACCTCTGCACGGGCAGCAGCAGAAGTGCCTCATCCTGCCCTCCCTGGTGGCAAGAGGCTGCCCACGCAAGGACTGGGGGCACTGGAGAGACCCCCCCCGCCTGCATCCCACCCTGAGCGTGTGTGTGTGAAGGGCAGTGTGGCCACTCAGAGCAATAAGAGATCTCCCCCCTCCCTGCTGCAGCCCTCCAGCCCCACAGCCCGAGACCTCCTCCCCACGGCCCAGCCCCATCCCACTCCCTCTGCAGGGACAAAGCCTCTCATCCATCTTGTCTCCCCTTCCTCCATCCTGGGGTGAGGGGGTCAGAATTCCCAGGCAAGCATCATTGAGGGGAAGGTGGAGGGGTGATGAATGCCCAGGAAACACATCCCAGGGGGAAGAGCTTCTTTTGGTTTGAGTTTTTTTCGTTCTTCCCCAAATTTTTTAGTATTTAAAAAATGTTGTTGGTGAGATCGAATAAGTGACTGTGTGGCCTCGAGGCTGGAATTCTCCATCCTCAGGGACCAAGGCACTGTGGTGATGGCTCCTGTCTTCTCTTCTTGGCCAATGTGACAAAACTGGGATGGATTCTGGAATGTCTCCATGATGGGATCTGCAGATTTCACCAGCACAATGTTCTCAGCTGAGAAATTGTCACTGGTTTTGTACCTGGTTTTTCTTTGAGCTGGGATGGAAATTTTTCACATAAAAATGCCATGGGAAGTGTGCCAAAGACAGAGGGGACTTCCCTTCTCCTGACCCACCCTCTGGCCCCATGGCCTCAGTGGTAGGTTTTGGTTTTCCGTGTGGATTTGTCCTGTCCAAGGCCCCCCGATGGGAACGAAGCGTTTCAGTTTTAGTGAAACACCCTCTGCCCTCCTGATCCCCTGCCTGCCCTGTGCCCTGCCAGATCCCTGCCTGCCCTGCCTGCCCGTGGCCCTGCTCACACACAGCTTCTAAACTGAGTCAATTCACCAGAACGATCCTCAGCAGGGAGGGGGGTCCCTGCCTCTGCCACCCCTCGGAGCCACCGCACCAAGGAAGGGATTCCCGGGGCCAGTCCCAGTGCCAGTCCCCTGTGGCAGCACCACAGCAGGACACAGGGCAGTGGCAGTGCCAGCCCCGTGGCCTCGGCCACTCGGCCACTCGCCGTGTACCCCCGGGCGGGTCCAGCAGAGCCTTTCCTGCTTTGGGGGTTCCTGATGCACCAGGGCACATTCTGTGTCCCGCTCCGAGGGCTCCAGCGTCTCGTAGCGTCTCTCCTGTAGTTTAGGGCTGTATTTACACACGACCATGTACCAGTGTCCCCCACCCCCAGCATGTCCCCTGGAGCCCAAGGGGTCCCTGTCCGTCCCTCCCGGGCCAAGCCCATCCCATCAGATTCCTGTGTAGCACCGACCTTTTACAGTACACTTGAACCTTTGTATCCTCAAAAAAGGTAATTACTGTATTTAATTTCCCGTTATTTGATGTGTTTCTATCGAGTGTGTTTTATCTTTTATGGCTTTAAATTGTGGGAGAGGAGGGAGACAGAGCAGCAAAGAGGGGGCTGTGGATTCCACGGGTGTGGGGACAGGCTTTGGTCACCACCTCTGCCCAAGGAGCTGGTCTCCTGGTCCTGTGTTGGGTTTGGGGCTCAGCAGCCCCGGAAATGCAGGAGCTCACAAGCCTCTGGAAGAATTTCATTGTGCAGGGACGGGGTGGGAAACAATTTCTTGCTTCCTCATGACTCCTGGCTCAGCGTCTCCACCGGTGCCACCGGGAGGATTGTCACCGTCACCGTCAGCCCTACACAGCGCCACGGAGCAGCGGCGGGGCCGGAGACGGCGCCAGGCTGGGAGGGGACCCTGGACCGGCCTCAAAGTTCAGGGACAGCCAGGGACAGGCACCGGCTGCTCCAGGGACACGGGCTCATGGCCAGGCATTGCCACTGGCCTTGAGGAGCTGCAGCCCGAGGCAAACGTGCAGGTGCCTGCTGGTGCCAGGGTGCACCGGGCATCTCCAGTCCCGCTCGGCGTTTTGGGAGGGTGTCAGGATGCAGACGGGAGATGCCCAGGCACAGGAATTGCGACAGCCGTGCACTTCCCGGTCACGGCTTGGCTCTGTCCCAGTGTCTGCAGCCGGTGCTGCCAGGAGTCCAAAGGCTGGCAGGGTCATCTGGAGCTGGCACCAGCCCGATGCTCCCGTTACCGGAGCCCGGCAGCCGCCGGTGCTGGCGCTGTGCAAACGCCACCGGGCCGGGGCCAAAGGTGGCTGCAGCCAATACAGACAGCCCAGAAATCTGCTGGCACGGCAGATGGGCCACCGCAGCAGGGCCAACGCCAGTGCTCCTAAAGCCCAGCCCCATGCCCTGGCCCTGTGCTGGTGGCTACCAGGGCTAGCCGGGCTTGGGGGAGCAGCACGACCCCCCAAAGCACCGTGTGAAAACCTTGCCTGGCCACATTCCCAGTTGCTGATCCTGACCAGCAGCACAATAACAACAGAGTCCTGCTCTGGGAGTCCTGGGGCTGCCCCAGGGTCTCAGGGCTGGAGTCCCACAGCCCAAGCTGCCCGTGACCTTGGGGAGCTGCAGCCTCCTGGTCCCATCAGCATGATGGGGACAGCAGAGTCACCTGGATACCTCGGGCACCAGCTCCTGAGCCCACCCTGCAGTGCTGGGTTGTGGCTGAGCAGAGCTCAGGGCAGAGGGACTGGGGGGACAAAGCTGCTCCTGTCTTCTCTCAGAGCCCCATGTGCTCCCCCCGCAGTGACCCCAATATCTGTTTTGGTCATTGCCAAGTGTGGCTGCAGCTGGACCCGCTCCACAGCAGAGGGACTCTGCCCTGGGTGCATCTGTTCAGCTGCTCTGGAGCTGAGCGTCTCCATTGCTCCATCCCTGTGGTGCCTGTGGCAGGATAAATGTTCTACTGCTCTACTGGAAATACCCCTTGGAGGGTTTGTTAACAGGGGGGCCAAAATTAAACCAATGCAGAGGCACAAAATGAGAACTAAGGTAGAGAAAAGCATGGTGGCTTCAGAGCTGCTTTCTTCTCTGAGCTACAGCTCAAGCTGACCCTTCAGCTGCTGCAGATCATGGCAGCACCGTCTTCCTCACGGCCCTGCCAATTTACGTCATCTGAGAATCCGGCCCAAATTCAGGCAAGTCATTTCCAAAAACCTGATGTTTCACTGTCATGAAAATGTCACCATTTATTTCCCAGCTCTCGGCAATGCTGGAAGGTCGAGCCCTGCCCGCAACCCCACACTGCGTAAAAGGGCAGGAGAATTTCCCAGCACCAGGAAAAATGCGCTGCTGTCATTCTTGCCTGTGGATGCTGCTTGCTCCTTGAGGGAGGCAGGTTTCCAGTTGGACTTAGTCATTTTATACACTCTGATTTGCAAAGCTGCCTCTTTGTGCTGCTCAGGGGGGTGATTCCTCCCCAGATTTTCCCTCATGCAGCACTGGGGTGTCAGGGCTGAGTCCCCAATGGTGGGAGCTCAGCTCAGTTCAGCTCCATGAGCTCAGCTCAGCCCAGACACCCCAAGAACAGGGGACCTCATGGCTGGTAGAAATCCCAGCCAGAGCATTGTGGTCCTTCAAAGCAGATGGTCCAGCTGAGGGACAGTGGTTCCATAGAGAGCACAGCTCCCATCCCTTCCCCAGGGCAGCCAGTGCCCCATGGAGAGGCTCAGAGGAGCATCTCATCCCACCAGAGCTGAAAGTCTTTAGCTGAGGCTCCCGATGTGACGGTGCACAACAAAAAAAGTCTAAATACATGCTGTTGCCAAAATGCAACCCAGAAGCAGGAGAAGGGGAGCAGGAGAAGCTCAGCAGAGTGTGAGCAGCTGCTGGCCCTCAGCATCCCAGGGTTCTGTCCCTACGGGCTGGGCAGGAGCTGGCGGAGCAGGTCGATGACAAGGGACACTGGCTGCACGGTGTCGTACTCTGCAAACAGGTGACAGAGGTTCTCCGAGTCTGTCTGGCTTTTGGCCACGAACCCAAAGATTCTTTGAGAAAGAAAAGAGGCTTATTCAGTTTGCATCCAGGAATCTGAAGGAATAGGCTGAAACCAGCCCAGCCACAAAGCCAAATCCCAGTTCCAGCAATTCCACCTTGGCCTGCTCCCCAGTCACGTTTCCTTGGAAGCCAAGCAGCCGGGAGGAGCATTTTTGGCAAGGCTTCCCCAGCTGTGAAAAGATTCTTGAGCACAAGGTAGAGCCAGATATAAATTCACTTCCTGAACCCAGCACAAGTCCCTGTGAAGGCTGTGGGATTTGGACTGGGGGTTCTGCATGAGGGGATGTGGAAACTGGGCTCAGCCAAACCTCTCATCCAAACCTACAGAGCAACCCTTCCAAAGCTTCACCCATCAGTCCCACGCCTCATCCTGCCACCATGGTAACTTCTATCACATCCCCTCCTCATTTTTAAGCTCTTTCTTTGCTGCTCTGCAATGCACCCACTTCCCAAAGCAGCATAATTCCCCTGGATTCCAGCCCCCCACTCCATGCAGGAGATCTCTGCTCTTACCTGGAGGACTTGCAGTACTTCTGCCACCTGGGGGAAGAACAGAATTGGAGTTGTTCAAAGGCTGATGTTTAACTCATTCCATCAGCTGCAAAGCCAAGGCTTATGTTTCGATCCACCCCAGCACGGTGTGCCCAGGGCAGTTTTATGGGATTTGGGATTTGAAGCGGTGCAGAGGCACTGGGAACCACAGGGAAGGGGGCACAGCGGGTGGCTCCGACAGGCACGGCTGCCCAAAACTCACTTTCTGTTCTCAGGGTCCATCCCACAGAACCTGATGGCAGCCAAGGGGTAGTGTCGCCTGAAGAACACCCTGGGAGAGGAGAGGGAATTGTTAGGAAAGGGAAGGGCCTCGGCAAGGACACCAATTTGCAAATCCAAGCCCTGTTGTGCTTGTGGGAGTCTGACGGTCTCAAGGCATCCCAAAATCCCAACCCTGAGTGCAGCTGGTTCCTGCATCCCAGCAGTGCCATAAAAACACAGCACCCCTCGTCAAGGGTTCAGTCCATCCCTGGAAGGTGACATGGTCCAACCAGGGCAGCTTTTCCTGAGGCTGGGAGGTGAGGAGGGAGCTGCTTCTCCATGAACCCCCCGACTTGGCCCATCCCGAGCTCTCACTTCCTCTGCACGTCCGTCAGCGTGACTCCCTGCTCCGTCACCCTGAAGTGCACCAGGGTGGGGGTGGGCAGCGTCTCCAGCTCCAAGGTGCAGGAGATGCCCTTCAGGATGGCCGGGGCTCCCGTCAGCGTCTCCACGTTCACCGAGTTGAGGTACAGGACGTTGCACACTGCAAGGACAGCACAGGGCCGGGCTCAGCGTGGCCGTGACACGGGCCAGACGCAGGGCTGGGTCCCAGGGGTCATCCTGCAGATCCCTCACATGGATCCGGGTCAGGTTTGTTTTGACGAAAATGAAAAGATTGGGTGACTCAGAAATTCTTCGCTAATTTCGTTTGGTTTGCTTTAATTCTTTGCACTAATTGTTGTAAAAGTCAAAGTATTTAATTTCCCGTTTCTAAATGTCACATTTGCTGGGGTTTTTTTTTTCTGTTTATTACATATTTCCTTTAATGAAAAGCAGAACTACCCCAAGCTAATGAAGGGCTGACAGCCAACCTAAAACATGACATTTCAGGCTGATTGAGCTGTTTAAAGGGCTGTTCTGGGTCAAACTAAACTTTCCAGCTTGCCAACTGATTTTTCAGAATTTCCAGCAAAACAAAGCAGTCTCCAGCTCCCCAGCCTGTGTTGTGACCCGTCCGTGTGGTCTCCTGCCCTTCATTCTTTGCTCTCACCTGGAACCTGCCCAGGCTGAGCTGCACAGACCCTTTCCCGTCCTACTCTGTCATTCCCACATGTGCCCTATAAGGAAATTTCACCAGCCCCTGACTGCCCATCCCTCTCCTAAAGGTCCACACCCATTGAAGCTCATCAGGAGAGAGGCTTAAAAATCAGGAACTCTTTAAAACTGTGGAACTCGGGGGTCTTTTCTCAGCTTCATGACCTCAAGAACTGTGTTTTCAAGCAGCTTGAGGACCCAAAATCTCCCTTCCTTAAAAATATCAGGCTCCCTTTCAGCCCAGGAAAAAATCTGCAGAAATCCTGCAGCTATCTCCAGCCCCACGGGGAAGCTGGAGGGGGATGCCACACACCAGTGGCCACCACTGCACAGGGGTGATCTGCTGCTGTCACAGTGTGCCCAAGGCCCCAGCTCCTGCCAGCTGGGCTGTCCCCAGGGCCAGCAGCTGGCTCACGTCCTCACCTGCAGTTTTCCTGGCCAGGGACAGGGCAGGTTCAGGAGCGCAGTCAGGGCTGTCCTCTCCATCAGCAAGATCTGCACAAAGGACAAGCAGGAGCGGTGATGCCACAGGCCAGGCTGAGCTGATCACCTGTTTGGCAGTTCCTTATCTCACAAGTAGCTTAAAGGCCCGTGACCACTCTAATTGCAGGGGTTTAGAGCAGTAATTAACTTAATTGTCCTTCATTTCCCTCTCCGGGCTCTGTTCACATCTGATCTAATTTGCTCTCTCCCCATCCCCAGCGGAAAGGAGTTACCACTGTCCCATCCCCAGGTCAGCTCTGCAGGTCCCCGCTCCACCTGCAGGAGGGGAGCAGCCCCTCGCAGGCACCCGGGGGGGCTCAGACCCCTGCCCACAGCAGGACCGCGCCCACCTCCCGCAGCAGAACCTCCCTCCTGTCGTCTCCTACCTCGGGTGGGGATGCTGAGCTTGCAGGGCAGTGCCAGCGGGGTGATGGAGTGCTGGTAGACAAAGGCAGAGAGGCTCCCTGCAAGCAGAACTGGGAGTTGGTGGGGGGCTGTTGCCTGGAACCCCCCTGCCCCCGAGTCCCAGCGAGCTCATGTTCCTGCTTTGGAGCCACGGTCTCACAGTCAGGGAAGTGCAGGCAGGACCTGGGGCTGGGGGGGGTTCCTGTGCTGGCAGGTGTGCAACACGTTCACCTGGTCCTGGCTGGTGCTTCCAGGGGCTTTGGGAACATCTCCTGGGGCTGCCAGGGCTGCTGTGGGCAACAGCACTGTCCTTACCAAAATACAGCTCCTCGCTGGCACCCTTCAGGTGAACCCCTTTGGTGGAGGACTCGATGAGGAAGTGCCGGACGAGGTCACTGCTCTCCTCGCCTGCCAGAGGAACCATAATCAGCACCAGCACCGGCCCCATGCCTCTGTGTCACCCCATGCCACCCCAGAGTCCTGTCCCAGGGCGTCACCAGAGCCGCTTTGTGGCATCATCCTGGTGCCAGCCCCTGTGAGAAGTGGAATGGGCACACACAGACAGTCTGCCAGCACCTCCCACATACCAGAGACCTGCAGCCTCTCATCTGGCTTTAGTTTGAGTAGTTTCAGTTAAACCCTTGAAGCAACCCCCCTGTGCACCCCCGTACCTGTCTGGCTGCCAGAGGGAGAGCCAGGAACCTTCATGGCCAGTCCGAAGGAGCCCCGGAACGAGGTGCTGTCCCGCACCAGGAACGTGCCCGGCTCCTTGTCCCTCAGCAGCTGGATTGCTGTCAGAGCACAGGCAGGGGCTCAGCCAAACACGCCAGGTGGGAGCTCCCCGCGCTGTGCCCTGGTGCTCTGCAGGGAGTCCCTCCTTGGCAGCAGCAGGAAAAGCTCTGGAGCGTGTGCCAAGGACACACACATCCCTTGTGTGGCACCAGCTGCAGGGCTTTGGCTTGGCCCACGGGTCCCTGCAGTCCCCAGGACACTCAGCCCCTGCCCAGGCCACGCTGTGTGACAGCAGGAGAAGCTTTGCTGGGCTTGGAGGACATAGAGGGGCCATGGCACGGCTCTTGTCTCTGAGCTGCCCCTCTCAAGCTGTGAGAAGGTCCCTCCACACCCATCAGCCCACAGTAGGCTTTGACTTGCCCCCACTGAGTCCCCACAGGGACACCGGAGAGCTCCGGGGACAGGCCAGAGTCCGAGGGGGGGTCACACCCATAGAGCCATTCCTGCCTCACCTCGGTCCCTGCTGATGCTCGGCTTGAACCAGTATTTTGATGTGTCCATCACAAACTTCATGGTGGGCTGCCCAGCCTTCAGGGGACCTGCAAGAGACCACAGGTTGTCAAGGCCAGCAGGAACGTGAAAGACCTCCAGAGATGGCAGAGCCCAGCAAAGACATTTCTCTCTCAGGGTGGCCAGGGCTGAAGGTTTTTCAATCCGTTTGAATCCTTTCCTCCCCACTCCTCAGAACAGCTCGTTCTCCATGCAATTATCTCTCTTGGCAGGCTGTGATGTAGTGCAGAGAGGGTCACATGGAATCCCCTGGCAGTGCCAGCCTGCCCAGCCCTGCACAATCCACTGGACCATGGGACTTACACCAGGATCTGACCCACACACCCTCTTGCTATTCCCATAAGGATCCCAATTAAAACCCTCTGCCCCGAGAGCTGCCTCTGCTCATCTCCTCCAGAGAACAATAGCCCCAGTGTTTGCCCTTGAATGAGGGACCTTGTGAACCCTGGTGCCTTTTGGTGTCCTCAGAGCAAACGGGAACCCCAACCCCTCCTCCCAACCCGGTTTGGGTCTGCAAACAGGCAGGGCAGGACAGAATGATGGTTCTCATTCTCAGGTGCTATAAATAGGTGCATCTGCATCTCCTGAAGGGAGCAGAGCATTCCTGGCTGCTCAGCCCACGTCCTAGGACACTGGTGGGCAAAAAGCTGTGCCTAACCCGGGGTCACCAGCCTCAGCCTGGAGACCACCCGGACCATGGGGAGACACAGCAAGGAGCTCCAGCGAGGACGTCTCGTCCTTTGTGTCTATAATCTACAGCTGAAGCAGAAGGAGAATGGTGTTTGCTGCCCCTTTCCCAGCAGGTTTGGGGTGTGCAGCTGCTCCCCGCCCTGGCCCGTGACTCACTGTCCGAGAGGCAGCTGAGCGCGGGCGCTGACTGCGCGGTGTTCAGGCCCCCGAGCCTCGGCGCCGGGCTGCAGGCGGCCAGGGGGGGCTGCGTGGCAGAGCTGGGGGGGGCTTTGGCCACTTGTGGGGGTCCATCTCCTTGTTCCAGGCACCCGTTCACCAGCAGCACCGGGATGTCGGCCGAGGAGGTGAGGATGGAGGGGGGGCAGCTGCTGGCCTGGCCCTTCTGGGCCAGGGAGGTGCCGGTGCTGGGGGAGCTGCCTGCCCGGGGCTGGGGGGAGCTCTGGCCAAAAGCCTCCCTGGGGTGAGGCACGATGCCGCAGGAAGGGGAGCAGGGGCTGCCCAGGGAGCTGGCGGGGGACAGGGAGGCGGCGGCCGAAGCATCCGAGTCCTCGTTGTGGAGCGAGTGGGTGCTGCTGCAGGAGGGAGACAGAGCAGAGATCAGGGGCTTGTTCACACGCAGAGACCATCGCAGCCACTGCACCGACCCTGCAGGGCATCATCTCCCTGCCCGAGGAATGAGGGACTGCCCTGTGCCCCTTCCACCAGGCACAGGTGGCATTTACCTGCCCAGGATGTAGCTGGTGTCCGAGCCAGGGCTCGTGGAGAGCTGGGACACCCAGCTTCCCCTCTGCGGGGTCCTCAGCACCTGCACGGGCTTCAGCAGGTTCTCAACACCTGGGGAGGTGCTGAGGGCCCCGGGGCTGTGGGAGGCTGTGTCCGTGTGTCCTGCCAGGCACTGCCAGGGCGCGCTGGTGCTCTCGGATGCTTTGCTGCAGCTCAGGGTGCCCGACTGGGGACTCGGGGGTCCGGGTGGGCTCGAGAAAACCACGCTGTCACTGGTGCTGTATTTGCCTCCGAGAGCCCCTTTTTGGGGCAGGAAGCTGTTGTTCTGAGGGGACCTGGAGAAAGGGGTGCCCGAAGGGCTGGGGGAGCCCTGTGGCAGGTCGGGCCCCATGGCTCTGCCCGGTGTCAGCTCTATGTACTTGATGTCTGCAGAGAAAGAGAGGAGGTCATGAAGGATCTGGTGTGCAAGCTGGGCTCCTTGGCAAAGCTCTGTGAGGAACACGTGCCTGTTCTTCCTGCTGTGAATTTTAGCCCCATCTCTGCAGGGCTGGGGGTCCAGCACTACCCTTTGTTGAGACCCTGTGAGGGCTGATTCCTCACAGATCCCAAGGTGAAGCGACCCCCCCACTGCTGGCAGGCTCCCAGGGAAGGGGGTTACGTGCGGTCACGTCTGGCTGCTCAGACCCCCCTCGCCAGCTTTACCCAGCCAGGACCTGCCGAGACCTGCAGCCAGAGGCGGGTGTTCCCTCCAGCAGCTGCTCTGTTTGTACCTGACTCAAGAGAAAAACACCTGGCTGCTCCCCCCGGGGTGACGTCAGGCTGGGAGGGTGGCCCTGCACACCCTGGGCAGAGGAGCAGGGGGATGTCACCTGCCCCCAGGTACAGCTGGGCCGTGGCAGTGAGGCAGTGGAAATCCACGTGGGACAGGAGCAATGACAACATTCTTGGTGCACACTACAGGGCCAGCCATGCTGGCTGTTCTGGCAGCAAGCTCAGACCCGGGCAGGGGCTGGCTGCTCCCTCCTCCTTTGTCCACCCTGCACAGATCTCTCTAGAGAAGTCACTTCCCAGGCAGTCTCTGTGTCCTGCTGTGGGATTCTTCCTTCTCTTCCCTTCCCTTGCCATTAGTGACACAGGAACACACCTGGCAGCATCTCCTGTCCAACACCCTCAGTGGAACCTCACAGCCAGCACTAGGGGTGCCTGGTGCACATCATGTCCAGGCTTCCTTGGACAAAGCCAGCATTTCTGGCTGAGCTGGAAAAGGACTTTTTTTAAAAAAAGAGACACTCAGTCTTGATTTGAGCGCTTGCAGCGATGGCAGATTCATCACATCCCAGGGAAGCTGCTCCCCTGGTTAATCACTTAATCACTCCAGTGCCAGAGGTGTGCACCTCCCTTCCAGTCTGGACGTGCCCAGCTTTGCTTTCAGTGCCTGCTTCTTGCCCTGCCATGGAGTTCAGGAAAGTTGCCCTTCTCAAAGGTGTTTCTCAGAGAGGGAAAATCCTTTCTGCTGCAGCAAAGACAAACTGCTCTGACAGCCCTGAGCGCCCTGCCTTGGGTCTGACAGGTCCTGATGGACCTGCTGTGCCAGAGCTGCTGGCCCTGGCTACTGCAAACAACCACCTGAGCTCAGGGGCACGGAGCTGAACGAGCAGGAAAAGCACAGGGCTGTACAGAAGTGACTCCCTGAGCCCCTTCTCTGTGCCAATCCCAGCACGAGACTGGATAAACACGGCCAGCCATGAGCACCAGGGAGGCGCTGGGTGAGTCAGGAGGGCTGGTCCCCAGTGGGGACACAGCTGGATCACGGCAGGACAGAGCCAGAGCCTTGCCCCTCCACAGCCCTGCTGCCAGCAGCAGCTCCTCCAGTGCCCAGCCTGGGGCAGCTCTGTGGCCACGTGTCCTGGTACCAGTGCACAAACCCTTGCAGCGAGCTGGCCGGATGCTTCTTGTCAAGGTCTCCCCAAAAGGAGAAAGAAATTGGGATTTTAATTGCTCTTTAAAGAACTGACAAGCGTCTGTGCACCAGGCTTATGAGGCCTTTTACCTCCTACTTCTCCGCCTTTGCTCCTCTTATCACCTGTGGTTAAACCTCAAATATTTGCTCAAGACCTTGGCAAGTTTTCCAGCATCAAGGAGTGGCAAAAGTGCCACAAAGACGGAGCCCAGATGTCACGCAAGCTGAGATCTCCTTTTCCTCTAGGAACTAGAAGGATCCAGAAGGAATAGTGCCTGTCATGAATGTGCCTCCTGTCACTGCAGCATTTCATAGATTGTGCTGAGTTGGAAGCGACCCATCAGGATCGAGTGTCATGTTTAAAGCTTCCTCATGGTCTCCACTAGACAAGGACAGGCTCCTCTCGCCTCTCTTGGGCACCATCAGTCCCTGCCACCCTCACATCAGGGCACAGGCTGGAGCAGGAGCAGGTGAGTGAACAGGGATGCTGCACTACGGAGGAAGTTTGTGTGAAAAACCAAGAGCTGTTAAAAGAAAATGAAAGCTGGAGTGAGGCTTTCCCCACTGAATTCATGGCCAACTTTCCAGATGTTCAGTTCCACTCTTGGAGCCAGATTCTCCAGACCACTAGCACGTTACCTGCGGAGCTGCCTGGGGCTCCAGCCCCGAGCAGAGCACGGAGGGGGGCAGTGGAATGGGTCAGGCACCGAGCAGCCAGAGCAGGGTCTGCACTTTGTCACGGTATTTTATCTGCAAGGTCACCCTGTCCATCCCAGCAGGAAGCAGGGACACTGTCTGCTCGGGAATTGCCTGGTTCCTGCAGTGCTGCTGCCTTGCTGCAGCACCAGGAACCTCACACACACCTCATCCTTCTCCAGCCCTGCCATCCTTATGTTTGCATCAGGACTCAGGAAGAATTGCATTTTTTGTGTCTTTAACATCCTCACATTTGACCTTGCTGTGGAAAGAAGCCTGGGGACTGATTGTAGAGATATTGGCCATGTGTAAAACAAGGATGGGCAATAAAGCTTTTGGGAAAAAGTGGGACTTGAGGCACCTGAACCACCCTAGATCTGTGCTGTCAGCAGTGCCAGCTCTCCATGTGAGAGAGCACTGGGGCTGCCCCGTGCACAGGGTGTTGAACACCTAAAATGAGCAGGAGAGCCCAGGCAGGAATACTTGGATCAGGAGCAGCTCACAAATCAGAGCCTGGGTTGCAGCGATGGCAGGGAAAAGTTGCACAAGGGGTCACATAAGGCACTGTGAGCAGAGACAGGGCTGGTATGTGCTGCTGGTGCCTAGCCTATGCCAGGTATGCTGCCTGGGGAGTGCACAGGGCCTGGAAAAAGAAGTTCCCTGGCAAAAGAATTGGGAACACTTAAATGGGATGGTTGTGCAACACTTGATACCTTAGCCCAGGGCTGTGGAAATCTGGCTGCAAATCCATGTGCTCCCACAGGTCAAGTGTGACCCTGGGAAAGGTTCTGCTGCCCTTGAGGGGAGCAGGGTCCTCACTGGGCATCCAGAGCCCAGGGGCAGTCACTGGTGGTGACAACTGGGATTAGAAGTTTTCCAACAGCTGCAAGTCCCATTTGTAATGAGAATTGTTTTCTTCAGACACAGGGAAATGAACATCAGGTAGAACTAAAAGCTGTTTCCCCTGCTCCTTTGAGCTGTCTGGATATGAGACATGTCAAGAGTGATCAGACCAGGGCTGTGGAAGCACTGGAGTCAGGCAGAGCTTGGATACACAATAATATGGAACCCTGATGTCAGGAAACAGCCCTGGCACACTGATCCCCCTGGGACAGCGGGCAATGTCCCTGGTGCCCATTTCCAGCCTCCCCAGGAGCACAGGAGCTTGTGTGGATCCAGGGGACGGGCGTGTGCCCAGCCCCTGTGCCCCAGGCTCTGATTTTCACCAGATGGGAGCTCTGGAGGCTCCACAGCCCTGCTGCCTTTGCCTCACCTATTGCCTCTGGCTCCTGCTTCTTGGTGGCCGCAGCGTCACCCTGAGCAGCAGGCTGGGCTGCATCCTTCACTGGCCTGCACGGCAGCGGCTGGAAGGTCGGATCGATCTCCAGGATCATCTGGTTGAGAGTCTCTATGGTTATGTCCAGGGAGGGAGACACGGGCTGAGCCTCAGGCTCCGTGCTGGGGGTCTCCTCCTGCTTCGGCTGGCATGGGGCAGGGGGTTTCTCCAAGGAGGAATTCTGCTGGCCTTTCCCCTGCGTGTGAGGAGCCGTGTGCTCCAGCACGGGCTGGGCTCCGTGTGCTCTCCCGCTGGGGAACAGGCGAGCCTTGGGGTGCACCATGGAGGGGGGCTCAGTCCAGGCCTCCGTGGAGTAGTAGACGTACTTGCCCGGGTACCCCGCCGGGTGCAGGCTCTTGCTCTCCTCTGGCGAGGAGATACACACAGTCTGTCCAACACGCAACACGTGGGATTCTATGACCTGGGACATGGTTTGGTTTTCCGGTTTCACAGCTTAGAGGCCAAGGGAAACCTCCTCCTTCTTCTCCTCCTCCTCCTCCTCGCCTCCTTCCTTCACCAGGGACCTCAGACCCCGTCTTCAATCCAGTCTCCAGCGGAATAAGAATCTGAGGAATGCAGAGAGGAGTGGTTACACAGGCATGCCCCGGGCAGGAGCAGACTTCAGCGGAAAAGTCCATAAAAACCGGGATTTGGAGAGAAAGCTGGAATTCAGCTCATATGAAAACAAATCGCCCTGTCCTGCTTTTCCAGCCCCTCCAGCCTCTGCTCCCAGTGCCACAGCGCAGCTGGGCAAGCACACGAAAGGCTCATTGGCAACAGCTTTGCAGGATTCAAAGGCATAAAGTGGAATCCTGCTTTTATTTGCTTATTTTCTGGATAAAGAATGAAATGAAGGCTCTAGCAGCCTCTTCATGGGACCCTGACCCCCGAGCCAGCAAGCCTGGAGCCCTGTGGGGCAGAGAGCCGGAGCTGCCTGCCAGGGCAGTGTCCTGCAAGAGGGTGTATAGCTAATCCAGGATTTTATTTTCCTGGTACAATGCAAGTCTGGAAGCCTGTGGACGTGGCTGCTGCCTCAGTGGTGGTGCTGCTCGAGGAATCTGACTGCAGATACATATTGAATACTCTCTGGCTTTGCTTTAGGCAGAAAGCATTTTTTATTTTTTTTATTCCCCATTATAAACCCCTGTGGAATGAGGTTGGCTTCCCTCAGAAGTCTGGGAAAAAGGGTCTCGGGACACTGTTTGGAGGTGTGGGAGTTGTCCTGCTGCATCAGGAATCAAATGGGGTTCCCCCAGCTGTTGCTCACGCTGCTTGGCAGGAGCTGTCCCTCAGCCACACGCTGCCACCAAACACTGAGGGACCTTCACTCCTCTGGCTTGGGGTGAGGACAGGAACCCTGCACCCCTCTGTACCCACTGTGCCAGCCAAGCCTGGCACCTCCGTGCTGGGCACATCCAGGCCCCACAATCCCTGTGTCAGCACCACACCATCCTCTGTGGTCCCTAGGGAGGGCAGCACTGGTGGGGACCAGGGGTATCCAGAGATCCAGAGCCAAAGCTTTGCTGGCAGGAGGTAATGCCACAGCTCAGGGCTCCCTCCCCATATCCTGTGCGGATTTGGCACGTGACACTCACAAACAGAGGGGCACACGTATTAAAATATTTGTCCTGTCCTGCACCAGTCTCCAATGACGGACTTATTTACTCTCTTATCCTGGGCTGATTAACGATGGAGTCACAGGATTAGGAACGAGACACGTTGCTCCAAGGCAGCTGGTCCCTCAGCCCGTGGGCGCGGGCAGGAGCTGGGCTGGTGCCCTGCAGGAGCTGGGCTGGTGCCCTGCGTCACCGCCTGTAATCAGTGACTAATTGCCCTGCCAGGTGTTGGGAGCAGGAACGGAGAGTGGCTCAAAAACACGGCAGCCATGCGCTGGGTGAGTTATATAACCCTGGAGAAGCCTCGTATCTTGCTAGAGAGACGCTCAGAACAACCCAAGCTCATGAAGTGTAGGGAATTAGAAGCAAAACATCGCTGCTGTCTCATTGTATAACCCCGGAGAAGCCCCGTATCTTGCTAGAGAGACACCTGGAACACCCCGAGCTCATGAAGTTTAGGGAATTAGAAGCAAAACATTGCTGCTGTCTGCTGCTGCTGTCAGCACCCGGCCCCGGGCGAGTCGCGGCAGGTAAAGCCCTCTCCAGGGCTTCCGAGAGCTGCAGGAGTGAATAAATGCCTCAACCCCATTTACCTTCCTGTCAGCCCAGCCCCACCGTGTCTCCTGAGCCTCTGAGATGTTTCAGGCACAGGACAGGCACAGGAATGGCTCGGGAGCAGGGCTGTGCTGCAGGAAGAGAAGCACCTCTGGAGCCTGATTTAGACAGGCCCAAGGCAGACCTGAATTGTTGCTAATTATTCCTAGAGGTGGGAACCTCTGGGAATTTGGGGCTATGCTGTTGGAGCCAGGTCTGCCCCAGCTCCCAGAGGAGGAGGACTGAGTCTGGAGCCAGTGATCCCTGTGGAGAACCAGCTGTGAAGGGATCTGCCAGAAACTGGGGGGCAGGCGGGTGAGGGGCTGCAGGTAGTGGGGTCCCTCCTCTGACTGTGGCAGTGCCACAGCCCACGGTGCCTTCCCCCTTGGCCAGGCCAGCACCTGCCTCTTCCTTGGCATTTCCAGACCCCAGCCCCAGGGCACAGAGGATGCAGGAGCAGGCTGGGACCCAGCCCCCCTTTCCCCTTTCCTGGCTGGCCGTGCCAGGGCTCTCTGCCCACAAAGTTTGTGTCACCTCAGGTTGAGTGACAGCACAGCTCTGCCAGGGGGTGCAGCTCAGAGCCCAGGTAAGCAGATGCCCACCTTGGGAAACCACCCAAGGTCTCCTGCCGTGGGGCACCGTGTGCCACGATGCCGCCAGCTCTGCGTGAGAAGTGCAGTGTGGTACAAGGCTCGGAGGGAGCGCTTGTTAAATATAAAAAGAAGAGTCATTCCAGGTCAAAAACACTAGCGAGATGGAGTGAAAATTGGATTCTCCCCTGGGGAGAAGAACTGCCTGGCTCCAGTCAGCATCCACAAGACAAGGCTGGTTTTAATTTAAGTAGGTACAGAAATAACGTGCAGGATGCATGAACCAGGGCTGTCGGGGCCTCCAGGAGCATGCACGCAACAGCTTCCCTCCTTTCTTGTACTCCTGCCCTGAGTTTTTGATCTTTCTCATGTGTGATGCTGCCAGAATTAGCCTCCAAACCTCATTTCTCCTCCCTTCCCTTCTCTGGGTTGAAGTGAGAGGTCTCCCAGGCTCCTGGCAGGAATCTTGAGCCTGGGCTGCAGGCTCTTGTGCTTGGAGGAGCAAAGGAGAAGGGCTGAGGTGAAGGAGGGGAATCACAGGGGGGCTGCTGCCCACCAGCATGGCACGGGCAAATGCTGCCCACAGACATCAGGACCTCCCCAGAGCCACAGGGAATGGCACACCCCATGCACAGGGTCTGGGCAGGGTCTGGCTGTGCCCCTTGGGCAGGAAAGAGAGGCCGGGCATGGGCACAGGTAGGAGCCTGTATCACACATACCCACCCCGTGCCACGAGCCATGCCCTGGGCTCCATGGCAGCAGCAGGGTGAGCTCTGGGACAGAATCAGGGCAGCCCTGGCAGAGGGAACCCCAGCACTGCAGCCATGCCTGGACAGGCTGGTTCAGCCAGGCCTGGGAGATCGACTGGCTGTATGGAAATCCCAGGGAAGGAGAAATGTTGTCTCAGCTAAGCCAAGGCTAGCACAAAAAGATGGAAATAAGCTGGCACAAACACCACCAGACTGGAAATGGCAGAGTTTCTGCTACTGGAAGCAGACTGTGGAATGCAACTCTCTCTAAGCTGAAGGGGGACAAGTCACAGATTTCACATGCAGATGGACACTCAGTCCTCAGTGAGGGACCAGCCTGTGGTACCAGGAGACCCAGGCTGTGGGGCTGGAGCTGCAGCTCAACCCATTCATCCCAGCACTGCTCCAGCCCAGCTTGGCGGTAGGAGAAGGAGCTGGGCTGGGGGTGCCAGGACGGGGCAGGAGGTGGGGTGCCAGGACGGGGCAGGAGGTGGGGTGCCAGGACGGGGCAGGAGGTGGGGTGCCAGGACGGGGCAGGAGGTGGGGTGCCAGGACGGGGCAGGAGGTGGGGTGCCGTGCTCGGAGGGCTGCGGGCGCTCCTGGGCGCGGCTGCGAGGAGCCGGGCGCCCCGGGGCCGTGCCGGCACACCCCGGCTGCTCGATAACCGCTCTGCCCTTCCCAAACCGAACCCGCCGGGCACGGCTCAGCCCCGCGACGCCACACGGGCCTGGCCCGAGCATCCGCACGGAGCAAAGTCCCTCCCGCTTCCTCTGCGGGAGCTCAGGGAGCCCCCTGGGACCCCAGAGCTCTGCTCTGCCCTGGCACCGTGCGGGGCACGGCTGGCAGCGCTGCCCGCAGCATCGCCGGCAGCTGCACGCTGCGTGTCCCAGCGCGGTTATTTGGAGCTCGGACATACGAGCCGGGACACAGCCTCGCTCCCTGTCCGCGCAGACCCCAAAACAGCTCAGCCAGCTGCCAAGCCTGGTTGTTTTTCCTTGCAACGTGAGCCCTGGGAGCCTCCCGATGACAAGCCTGTTACACATCCCCTCGCCAGGAAGGGCAGAGGGAACTGCTGGGACACCCAGGATTTCCAGCGCTCATTACACACAGTTTAATCACTGCGAGGGCTGCGGGCGACTTGCCTGGATTAGAGGGGCATGCTGAGGGGGTTGAGAAAGAAAGTTCCCATGGTTATGCTGTGTTTTCCCTGCAGAGCAGGGAGAGCCACGGTATCACATGGCAGATATTAATACAGCCCAGCTCCGGGGGGTTCCAGCACCTGGTGCCCGAGGAGCGGCTGCCCTCCCACGCCTGGGGGAGTCTGTCAGAGCCTCCTCCCTCGCTCAGACATGAGCAATTACGAACCTCGGCAGCAAGGGAAAGAAGCGTTTATGAAATGCCAGACAGCATCTCGGTATCTGACCAGCCCCCGGAGCCACAGGATGAGGCAGGACCCGCACGAGCGGTGCCAGAGCAGGATGTTTTGGTGGGGCAGCGAGAAACCCTCCAGTGCAACCCGAGAGCATCCACAGCAGGAGCCACTCGCCCCCAGTGACCCCCCCTCCGCCAAAGTGCTGCTTGTTTAGCAACATTTCAGACTTCTGGAAGGGTCTCCGGGCTTTTGGAGGAGTTGGGTTATTAGGAATGTTGAAATCGCTGCTCCAGCAGCTCCCCCTCCCACTGCATTACAGCCTTTTCCTCTCCCGGGACAGCTCTTTCCCCTCTGGCAAGAGCTTCTCTGGGTACAAGAGCAGCACAGAGCCTGGTCCTCATTTCCAACAGAGGTCCCAGCCCAGCAGGAGAAGTTTCCCCTCCCCTCTTTGTGGGTGAGCAGTTGACATGGGAGGCTCAGGGACAACAGTGTCTTTAGAACAGGGTGTC